CACGCCCACAAAGTAGTTGATGAGCTGGAAGCAGATCTCAAAGACGGTGGTGGGGTCCGGCAGTCCTCCGATGGTGATCAGCGTCTTCACAGCAAAGTAGTAACATCGGATGTAACTATGGAAACAGAGACTTCCTGTCATTGGAGGAAGTCCCAAAACAAGCCCTGATTCTCGGTGAGCCCCCATTGGCTGCTGGTGCAGGAAACATGGCGGCCATCTTGGAGCGGTGCAAGCCTCAGCATTGCAGGATACCGTGTTCATATCGACATCAGATAAACGGGGAAACGTTTCACAAGTAAGACGGACGTATTGCCGTTTATTTTTTGTGATTAGAATATTAGTAAACAGTATTGATGTCCAGCTAATATTAGATAAATGTTTGGTGTAACACCAGGTTCACCAGGTTATTACAAAACCAGCCCAGATTTTAAACATTTAAAATATTCCCTCCTGTTGATTTACATTATCTGACACAAGAGTCTACCTTACAAATAAAACAATATCATATAAATGATTATGAATATATTATATGTTACATGCCATAACATTAACCAGCAAAGTTTATACAGATGGCAAAGATGATGTAATTTCACTCTGACAAAAGCAAGATGGCTCCCAAATCTGACTTTGTGATTTGAAAGTTTCCTAAAGACACGATGTCAGGAAGACGGATGAATCTCACGGAGGATTCTGGACTCGAGCTCAGCTGCTGGATCTGAAGCAAGAACTGGCTGGAAAACATGAAAACACACACACACTTCTATAGACACACACACACACACCTCTATAGACACACACACACACACTTCTATAGACACACACACACACACTTCTATAGACACACACACACACACCTCTATAGACACACACACACACACTTCTATAGACACACACACACACTTCTATAGACACACACACACACACCTCTATACACACACACACCTCTATAGACACACACACACACACACACTTCTATAGACACACACCTCTATAGACACACACACACACCTCTATAGACACACACACACACCTCTATAGACACACACACACACACCTCTATAGACACACACACACACACCTCTATAGACACACACACACACACCTCTATAGACACACACACACACACCTCTATAGACACACACACACACACCTCTATAGACACACACACACACCTCTATAGACACACACACACACACCTCTATAGACACACACACACACACACCTCTATAGACACACACACACACACACCTCTATAGACACACACACACACCTCTATAGACACACACACACACACCTCTATAGACACACACACACACACCTCTATAGACACACACACACTTCTATAGACACACACACACCTCTATAGACACACACACACACCTCTATAGACACACACACACACCTCTATAGACACACACACACACCTCTATAGACACACACACACACACACCTCTATAGACACACACACACCTCTATAGACACACACACACACACCTCTACACACCAAGATGTCGTTCTTGAAACAGAGCTGGCTCCTGGTGCTCAAAGCCGCCAGCGGTGCCACCAGCACCTGTCGTTCGGTTTGGCAGGATGTCATCCACCTCTATAGACACACACACACACCTCTATAGACACACACACACACACACCTCTATAGACACACACACACACACCTCTATAGACACACACACACACACTTCTATAGATACACACACACACACCTATAGACACACACACACACACACCTCTATAGACACACACACACACACCTCTATAGACACACACACACACACACTTCTATAGACACACACACACACACACACACTTCTATAGACACACACACACACCTCTATAGACACACACACACACACACCTCTATAGACACACACACACACACCTCTATAGACACACACACACACACCTCTATAGACACACACACACACACCTCTATAGACACACACACACACCTCTATAGACACACACACACACACACCTCTATAGACACACACACACACACTTCTATAGACACACACACACACACTTCTATAGACACACACACACACACACCTCTATAGACACACACACACACACCTCTATAGACACACACACCTCTATAGACACACACACACACACCTCTATAGACACACACACACACACACCTCTATAGACACACACACACACACACTTCTATAGACACACACACACACACTTCTATAGACACACACACACACACCTCTATAGACACACACACACACACCTCTATAGACACACACACACACACACACCTCTATAGACACACACACACACACACCTCTATAGACACACACACACACACTTCTATAGACACACACACACACACCTCTATAGACACACACACACACACACTTCTATAGACACACACACACACCTCTATAGACACACACACACACACACACCTCTATACACACACACCACACTTCTATAGACACACACACACACTTCTATAGACACACACACACACACACACTTCTATAGACACACACACACACACCTCTATAGACACACACACACACCTCTATAGACACACACACACACCTCTATAGACACACACACACACCTCTATAGACACACACACACACCTCTATAGACACACACACACACACACCTCTATAGACACACACACACACACCTCTATAGACACACACACACACACACACCTCTATAGACACACACACACTCTATAGACACACACACACACACACCTCTATAGACACACACACACACACACCTCTATAGATACACACACACACCTCTATAGACACACACACACACTTCTATAGACACACACACACACACACTTCTATAGACACACACACACACCTCTATAGACACACACACACCTCTATAGACACACACACACACCTCTATAGACACACACACACCTCTATAGACACACACACACACACCTCTATAGACACACACACACACACACACACCTCTATAGACACACACACACCTCTATAGACACACACACACACCTCTATAGATACACACACACACACCTCTATAGACACACACCCCTCTATAGACACACACACACACACCTCTATAGACACACACACACACCTCTATAGACACACACACACACACCTCTATAGACACACACCCCTCTATAGACACACACACACACACACCTCTATAGACACACACACACACACACACACACCTCTCTAGACACACACCCCTCTATAGACACACACACACACCTCTATAGACACACACACACACACACCTCTCTAGACACACACACACACACACCTCTATAGACACACACACACCTCTATAGACACACACACACACCCCTCTATAGACACACACACACACACACTCTATAGACACACACACACACCTCTATAGACACACACACACACACCTCTATAGACACACACACACACCTCTCTAGACACACACACACACCTCTATAGACACACACACACACACACACCTCTCTAGACACACACACACACCTCTCTAGACACACACACACACACACCTCTATAGACACACACACACACACCTCTATAGACACACACACACCCCTCTATAGACACACACACACACACCTCTATAGACACACACACACACCTCTACAGACACACACACACACACACCTCTATAGACACACACACACACCTCTATAGATACACACACACCCCTCTATAGACACACACACACACACACCCCTCTATAGACACACACACACCTCTATAGACACACACCCCTCTATAGACACACACACACACACACCTCTATAGACACACACACACACCCTCTATAGACACACACACACACCTCTATAGACACACACACACACCTCTACAGACACACACACACACACACCTCTATAGACACACACACACACCTCTATAGATACACACACACACCTCTATAGACACACACACACACCCCTCTATAGACACACACACACACACACACCTCTATAGACACACACACACACCCCTCTATAGACACACACACACACCTCTATAGATACACACACACCCCTCTATAGACACACACACACACACCCCTCTATAGATACACACACCCCTCTATAGACACACACAACACACCTCTATAGACACACACACACACACACACACCTCTATAGACACACACACACACCTCTATAGATACACACACACCCCTCTATAGACACACACACACACACACACCTCTATAGACACACACACACACACACCTCTATAGACACACACACACACCTCTATAGATACACACACACCCCTCTATAGACACACACACACACACCCTCTATAGACACACACACACCTCTATAGACACACACACACACACCTCTATAGACACACACACACACACACCTCTATAGACACACACACACACACACACTCTCTAGACACGTGCATATGAATATGCAAATCCAAATATAAATATTCAGTATTATTTATGATCATCTTTTTTTCCCTCAATATATTTGTATTATTTTGTGTTTATATAAATATCTATTAATAATACTATTTTTGTTTAAAGTATGAATGGCTGCATGCTTTTCAAAATATTCATCATATATCAATATCGGCATATTGAATCCCATACTGCTTAAAAATAAATTTATTTGTAAATGTACAATGAAGGGCGTTTGAAGAATGTTTCCAGTAATAAAGTATGAAAATACGTAAAGTATTTAGCGAGTTATTATTGATTAAATGCGCTGATACTTCATCGCACCAGCCAAACATGACGCTGAAGTGAGCAGGAGAGGCATCTGCTGCAGAGTGGACCTGCAGAGACTGTCTTCCTCTGACGTCACCGACAGGAACCTCCCATTTACACCTGAATGACGTGAGACCTCTAGTGGTCAGCACAAAAACTGCGTTTCTTATTATGACAGAGTATTAAAAAAAATCAATCATGACAACAAAGTCAGAATATTACAAAAACAAAATTATACAACAGTAAGTTAAAATAAGAGGAGAAAAAAGTCGTTATAAGATGAAAGACGATACATCTTATGAGAACAGGAAGCAGCGGGTGGAGCAGAGGCTCCAGTTCTGATCGCAAACCCAGAATCGACTAAGAATATTTAAATATATTCCTTCCAGGAGAAGAACCTCTCTGCAGCTAACAGGAAGGGCGACGAACTGCTGTCAGTCTCAGACCTTATATGGAAACAGGACCATTCCACTCCGGAAGTGAAGGGGGCGCTATTTCCTAGATTATCCATGTCTCCCGTTTCTATTTTCCTGTGAAATCTGATATATTTTCACCTTTAAGAAGGATTTTCACTCTCAGTATTTGAACTTCTCTCTTTATTTACTTTAGCTCACAGTTTTAACAGATTCTGTAGCTTCCTGTGTTCTTCTAAATTTGCTCCTGACTTATCTTTTCAGGCCTGATGCTGCCTCTAGTGGCGTGGGGAGGTAACACAACTAATATAATTACAATATTATTCACTATGAATTCAGCATTACTGGCACTGTAAAAGATAAATTATAACACATCATATTTTTTCATTTTCTTAAGGAAGTAGAGGTAATTAAATGAGATAAACTAAACCAGGAAGTGATTCCAGTTTCTCTCGATGGCCAACCTGTTGAAACTGGCAAATTTTAAATTCCTGGTGTCGTTCCTGGACATTCAGCTCGACTTTGCAGAAAACACTTCCTGTATCTTTAAGGACTTCTCAGAGACGCCATCTTTAAGAGGATCTAGTGATCTCAGGGTTACCCAACTAGAGCTTGTTGAGCTAAAATGTTAAAATGTTGTTTTAACTTGAGTTTTAACTCAAGTTAAAACAACATTTTAACTCAAGTTTGAACTTTTCATCTCTCGGCTGGTTCCGTCTCATGAGCTGCAGATTAACAAGCTTTTAATGAAACTTTCACTGGCAGGTAAAACAGCAGGTAAATGGTGGTGAAACCAGAACCAACTTTATCTCAACTGTTTGCTGAAAGATGATGGAAGATGCAGGAATATTTTAGCAGAGAGCATCCATCCTCTTTCTTCATCAGTTTGACCTCTGACCTCATGAAGCCGTCTCTGTTTTCCTCTGGTAATAACAATCTATTAGAAATCATTTATTGACAGGGCAATAATTATTCTTTACCAGCTAAATGATAACATTTACCTCCAGCTTGCTGAGTGTTTTACTATATTCACAAATTATTGATAATGTGATTCTATGAATAGGATTTATTGTTTTAGAGTCAAAGGAAAATTCCATGTTGATAGACTAAATAGTTTCATCTTATTTGTTCCTATATATTAGACTCTACCAACAAAAAGTCTCTCAGAATAATATACATGGCAGCGTAAAAACAAAAATGTGAATTTTGGCTTGTATCTGTTTAACAACCTGGTTATTTGTCCATGAACCTTTATTTGTTATTGACTTTTGATCAATTCAATTTCTGATATACATTGCAAATTGTATTTATATTATAGCTGATTATGTTGTTTTATGTCTCCTTGTATAATTGATGGATATATAGATATTATTTATAATGTATAAAAGTATTATAGCATTTAATCAGCTCTACATCCTTAAGGAAATGAAAAGGTACGGTGTTTTACACAATATTTATATTTTATAGTTCCAGTAATGCTAAAATTAAGAATAAATAATAAAGACTTTGTGATATTCTGACTTAGTAATGCAATATATTAGTTGTGTTACCTCCCCACGCCACTAGAGGCAGCATCAGGCCTGAAAAGATACGACTCAGGAGCAAATTTAGAAGAACACAGGAAGCTACAGAATCTGTTAAAACTGTGAGCTAAAGTAAATAAAGAGAGAAGTTCAAATACTGAGAGTGAAAATCCTTCTTAAAGGTGAAAATATATCAGATTTCACAGGAAAATAGAAACGAGAGACATGGATAATCTAGGAAATAGCGCCCCTTCACTTCCGGAGTGGAATGGTCCTGTTTCCATATAAGGTCTGAGACTGACAGCGGTCCGTCGCCCTTCCTGTTAGCTGCAGTGAGGTGTAGTTGCGTTCTTCCTGAAACATGGGAAAAGGCAGCTCGCTGCCGGCTGACAGATTATAGGAAAGAAAATATATAGTATGAGAATAAAGTGGTAAAAACAGTAGAAATAATTTCTGATAATAGAGTTGAATGTTTTTTCTAATTTCTTCCTGATTGATGATGTAATGACGTTCTTACGCGTTGCCTTTCCCGTTGTAGACCCACTTGGTGGATCCCAGACCCTCGTAGTCGGAGCCCCAGTAGAAGAGACAGGCGTTGATGTGCAGCGAGTAGAGCAGGTAGGTGGAGGTCCGGATCACCCTGGGCAACGGGTTAGAGGTCAGATGTGGTTGGATGAGGTTGGATGAGGTTGGATGTGGTTGGATGAGGTTGGATGAGGTTGGATGTGGTTGGATGAGGTTGGATGTGGGTGGATGTGGTTGGATGAGGTTGGATGTGGTTGGATGAGGTTGGATGAGGTTGGATGTGGGTGGATGTGGTTGGATGAGGTTGGATGTGGTTGGATGAGGTTGGATGTGGGTGGATGTGGTTGGATGCGGTTGGATGCTGTTGGATGCGGTTGGATGTGGTTGGATGCGGGTGGATGCAGTTGGATGCGGGTGGATGTAGTTGGGTCCAGTTGGATGTGGTTGGATGTAGACGGGTGCGGTTGGATGTAGTTGGGTCCAGTTGGATGTGGATGGATCTAGTTGGATAAAGTTGGATGCAGTTGGATGTGGTTGGATGTAGATGGATGTGGTTGGATGTAGATGGATGTAGTTGGATGCGGTTGGATGCGGGTGGATGTGGTTGGAGGTAGATGGATGTAGTTGGATCCAGTTGGATGCGGTTGAATGTAGTTGGATGTGGTTGGATCTAGTTGGATAAAGTTGGATGCAGTTGGATGTGGTTGGATGTAGATGGATGCGGTTGGATGTAAATGGATGTAGATGGATGCGGTTGGATGTAGATGGATGCGGTTGGATGTAGATGGATGTAGTTGGATATCATTGGATCCAGTTGGATGCGGGTGGATGTAGTTGGATGTGGTTGGATGTAGATGGATGTAGATGGATGCAGTTGGATGTAGATGGATGTAGTTGGATGTGGTTGGATGCGGGTGGATGCGGTACCCACCGGTAGATGTAGGCCTTCTTCATCACCGCCTCCATCCGGTCGTTGAACTCGAAGAACGCCATGTACTGGGAGAGAACAACCAATCAGCTGCTTCCCCTGGTCATGTGAGCAAGAGCAGGAAGAGCCTGACCTTCAGCAGCCGCGGGAAGCGCAGCAGCGAGTTCACGCCGGTGAAGTAGTAAAGTATCTCCATGGGGAACAGGCTGATGATGTCCATCTGGGAACGAAAGGAACACGGGTCAGAACCAGAAGCGCTCCAGAATCCGGATCGTTCGCTGCTCTAGCAGAACGTTCTCACCTTGAACCGTTCGGTGGTCATGTAATGCTCTCTCATGTCCTTCTTGTCACACTGTCAGTAGAACCAGTGAAACCAGTTAGAGCCGTTCCTGCCGGTTGTACGCAGAAGGTCTCCTGTGTTTACGTACCACGATGTCTCCGCCGCGGACGAACTGCAGCCGCGGCTGGAAGACCAGGATGTCTGCGATGTAGATGAAGTCACAGGTGTAGTCGGCCAGCAGCCACAGGTGGATGTTGTCGGGAGTCTGGTAGGGGAACGCCCAGCGCACCGGGATCAGCAGCCACACGTTCCAGTTCCACGCCGCCACCACGAAGAACAGCCAGATCACATAGATGATGTCTGCAGGACGGGGAGGCAAGAATTATGGGAAATCACCGGGAGAATGTGGTCGGTTCTGGGAGGAGAGCTCACCAGTGAACGGGTCGATGCTGGACGGAAAGCGGTACTCCAGGATGGACCGTAGCCAGTCGGGCATCGGGGGAAGTTTTGGGAGCTGGACCGGATGTCCCAGGAGTTCAAACTGGAACAGATCCGCTTCCTGCGGTGGTTCCAGTTCGTCCTTCTTCTCCTCTCCAGGCGGGGGCGGTGGAGGAGCCGGTGGAGCTTTGGCAGGAGCTGCAGAGATCAGGAGAGACGGTCAGGGTTCCGGTCCACTTTCACCAGGAGACCCAACTGAAAATCCCTGAGGGATCCCACTGGATCCAGGTAGCCAACTGGATCCTGTTCTCTTTGGGCAAGCCGATTGCATCCAGTGGTTGGCTCAGTGGATCCAGGTTTTCCCGGATGAGGGGACCTGGATCGGGGTGACCTACAGGCAGTGGGGCTCTCCTCCTCGGACTCGTCAGGATCCACCAGGCGGTCTTTGTGTCGTTCTGTCCGGCCCTTGAAGAGCCCGACCAGCTGGTTGAGGCGCTCCTGGACCGTGACGCTGGCCACGCTGGCGGCGGACTGCGGCCGCATCCTGCGGGGAGAACGGACACGCTGAGGACGCCGCTGATGGGGGAGGGCCATGCTGCGTCTGGGTCGGGGTCTCACTCGTCGTCTCCCGGACTGGACCGGGCCTTCAGCAGCTCCTCGTCCTCCTCGCCTGGCGTTGGGTCAGCTCTGCAGACAGCAGCACATCCAGAACCCTGTGAGCCATAAATCATCATAAATCATCTGCTGTCAGATTTATGATGATTTATGGCCCCAGAGTTTGAACCAACAGACTGATCTGGACTCTCCGTGTGATGAAGAGCCGCCAGCAACTTTCAGGGTCAAACAGAACCAACATGTTTCCAGAGCTCAGCAGCAATATCTGCAAATATTGTAACGATGTCTTTGGAGACACGATTCGTTTGCAGGCTGACGGCTTGGTTCTGACCCGTCTCTTCTTCTTCCACTCAGTAAAACTGAAATATTTTAGATTCAGATTTTCCCGCCTCTTTCTCTTTTCTGAAAGCCATTAATGTTGCCACCATTCCTTCCTTGTGTTTTCCAAAATTTAATGTTTTAATGCTCCTCCTGCCGGGTGGAGAGATGAACAGCGCCCCCTGCAGGCCTGCTGCTGTTACCTGAGCTGAGGCAACATCAGCCTGCTGGTCTCCGGTTCGGGGGTCGTGATTATCTGTGGGATGCTCCGGTTGAGTCGGTGCAGCTCGTCCGGGTCTGCAGCCTGCAGCATCAGCGCCGGAGCGTCGGTGTTCCTGCAGCTTCCTGAGGATCAGAGCAGAAGACGCGGCGCCAGGATGAGAAAACTGGAGCCGGGCTCTGGAGCCGGGCTCTGGGTCGAGCATCGACAGCAATCACCCAACTGAACACTTTTTAACCTCCGACTGGACTTACAGCCTGGAGTGAAATGACTGTAGTTAGGAAAGGATGACAATCACTCCAGATTTACTCAGATCTCACAATTTAATAAAACCGAGATTGCTTTAAAATAACTGAACAGAAAATGGTTTCATCAAAAGTTCGGGACTTCTCTGTGTTTCCAGAAGAATAATGAAATTTTGTTGAATTTATGAAATATTTACTGATGGCAACAGCTATTATTCAATAAATGTCAGATTTTAATTTAAGGTTATATGGCTATAGATGTTGATTTAATGACTTTGCCAGAAGTCAAAATCTGAAGGTCTGGGAAATCCAGCTTCAGTCTGTTGAGATTTATAGAAATGGGGTTTCAGATAGCTCCTCCCCCAGATCACATAACTCCTCCCCCAGATCACATAACTCCTCCCCCAGACCACATAACTCCTCCCCCAGATCACATAACTCCTCCCCCAGACCACATAACTCCTCCCCCAGATCACATATCTCCTCCCCAGATCACATAACTCCTCCCCCAGATCACATAACTCCTCCCCCAGACCACATAACACCTCCCCCAGATCACATAACTCCTCCCCCAGATCACATAACTCCTCCCCCAAATCACATAACTCCTCTCCCAAATCACATAACTCCTCCCCCAAATCACATAACTCCTCCCCCAAATCACATAACTCCTCCCCCAGATCACATAACTCCTCCCCCAGATCACATAACTCCTCCCCCAAATTACATAACTCCTCCCCCAGATCACATAACTCCTCCCCCAGATCACATAACTCCTCCCCCAAATCACATAACTCCTCCCCCAGATCACATAACTCCTCCCCCAAATCACACAGCTCTTCGATAATTTGTTTTACTTGTGAATTAGATTAGCTATCTAACCTTTTAAGTTAGAGTACAGGATTGCTAAGAAAACCTTTTAATGACTCAGCTTCACATTTTTAACCATTGATCACTTTCTATGCAGATGATACTGATGTTATTTAAAAACTCCCTATACTTTCACTTGAATATATTTATATATTAATTTTTTTTTTTTTATTAATGGGATTAGCTCTATTTTCTAATTAATGAAGACCACAACAGTAACTAAGTCTTTGCCCATTTGAACATGTTTCAGATTGTGGGTAATATTCACAAACTCCTGATATCTGTTAAAATAAAAACAATGTGGTTTGTTTTTGTAGTGAGTTTTTCTGCTGTTAATGTAAAAAACGTCTGATAAGGAAACTGGGATTCTTTTGAGTCAAATACTCTGGAGCTAAACTTTTTAAATTCTTTCTCGGATCCACAGAAAATGATTTAGAAAAACTTAACCTAAGATCTTCTGTTGATTCCTGCCAACTGAATTCCGTTTCTGTCCAGAATCGCTAACAAAAATATAACATAACTTTACGTTCTAACCATTTGATCACGCTCTATGCAGATGACACTGATGTCAGTTCAAAACTCCCTACCATCTCATTTCAGGATCAAAGCAAATTTTCAAAACAAGGAATCCCGACCCGCTGAATCAGAGGAGGATGCAGAATTTGTTTTTGAGACATCAAGGTGCCTGCCGTGTTTTCCAGGAGCGTTGCTTCAGACGGCTGATCCAGATCCATCTCCTGTTGGAAATGTTTTTAGCATCATGAAGAGGAGCTGCTCTGTTCTGGTGAATCAATCCATGAGCTCACAGCTGCAGAGTGCTCTGAGGAGTTCAGCCAATTATCAGTTGATGTATTGAAATCCGTTCAGATTTGGAGAAAATATCAACAGATATTTGCTGGAAGAAGCCACTTGGAGCCCAACTTTGGATGTTCCTGTGGAGAACGTCAGCATGACAGAACCTAAACTTTGCTTCCCTACAGAAATTCTGTGAAGTGACTTCACCTTCAAGTCCAAATCTGCTGAACCTCCTCAGAGTTTTTCTGTCACCTTTTATTTGTTTCAGGAGTTGTGTTTGTATTTTTCTATCTACATCAATTAAAACCTGGATTTTCAGTTTTAGGACCGAAACATGGCAGAAGAATCCTGCTGGCTGAAGATGAGCTGATAAACTCACATCCAGTCTGATGATGAAGAAAGTTTCAAACCTCCTGGGGTCTAAAACAGCAGGAGGCGCCAGATTGAGCAGCATTTAGATTCTTTATGGTTCATCCTGAAACAGCTGCTCTGATTTACTGAGGTTTAACACAACAGAAAATAACTTTATATTGAGTTCATAAACATTCCAGAGAGAAATGAAACAAACACAGCCGACGTGACGCGTTTCTCTTCATAACAGCATCAAAGGCAGCCTGATCCCATGGGTTCAAAACTTTTATTGGTCAAACAGAAAAAGGAGCAGAAACTCTGAGGTGACAATCGGACAGCCAGGTAACAGTGAGTGTGAAACATTTCAACAGAGACCTGAAGTAGCTGTACAGGCTCCGCCCACCGGCAGTAGGCTCCGCCCTCTTCTGGGAGACGCAGCAGCAGAATGCTAACCGTTGCAGCTCCATGCAGAAGCTGCTCTGAGGTTTAGAAAACTCTGGATTTGTAGTTGAACATTTCGGACTGAACTCAGGTCATCCTTGGTGTTTCAGCTCCTTTTCTGTCTGCTTCATTGCAGGGGAAAAGCATGCGGTGACTGTGGGAATAAAAGACCGGTGGCCCATGAGCAGCAGATGGTAGCAGAGCTGGAAAAGCTGCTCTGTCTTTGTTTCCTATTAAGTAGATCAGGTTTGCTTTGTTTCCATAGCAACAGATCTGAGACACCTGCTCTATGTTTTCAGCAATCAAGGTTAACTTTATGAAGAAATTATTATTGTCTAATTTATAAGTCAGTTCCTGCAGGATTCTGTGATCAATTCTGTGATTTTTTGCAATAAAATAAAGAATAAAGGAGCAAATAATTTTTTGTGATATCTTTAATGTGATAAAACAATCTGTTCATTTACATGGAGAACAGAGACGCTACTTTTTACTCGCTGCATCAATCAAGGATGATAAACTGACATCAAGTCAGGCTGAGGCAGCAGAAGTAAGAAATACTGCCACCTGCAGGTGGGACTTGGCTTCACTTTTTGTGGAAAAATTGCAATAAATTCAGTTCTGCATTAGTGGGAAAAACGTGAGGATCTGTTGATCAAGAGTGAATGTCAGTGAAGCTGAAGGAAGTGAACTGGGTCGAGGTTTGGTCGGGTTCTGCTGCAGCCTGAAGATCCAGTTTAAATGTTGCTCTTTGCTGAGATGTTACCATGCTGGTTCTTCTGTTCAAGTGAAACCAGAACCAGAACTCTGCAGCAGATTATTGGGTCCACTAGTTTCCAGCTGTTTCTAACTTTATTTTGCAATTTTAGAAAATAATTAATTTGCTGATTTTTAAAATACTTGCTGGTTTAGGTTGACATTTTAAACCTAGATTTTTAATTATTTGTGTGTTTGATGCTAATGAAGCGACAAATAATTAGGTTCTATCAGTTTCATCTCAGAGAGCCACAGGAAGCAGGAAAGAGGTCACTTCCTGTTCAGTCTGTCCACCTGAGGTTAAATGGCCACCAGAGGGAGCTGCAAGCTGCAGAGGAGGAGCAGCTTTATTTGGCACTTTCCAGGCTGGAGCTACAGATGGAGGGTCTATCAGGTGTCTGGGGGGCGCCGCTGCAGGACGGAGAGCTTAAGGCTGCTCAGGAAGCCGAGGAGAGCAAAGCGACTAGCCATGCTGCTGCAGTGCTGCTGTGCCTGCTTCTGGAGCTGCGACAGGTGCTGGGCCAGCTCTGGGTGGAGTCTCGGCATGGACAGCGTGGGGGGCGTCAGGTCGTGCTCCTGCAGCAGTGTCCTGCAGCGCTCCACGCACTCTGCAGCAAGCGGGAACCGAAGCAGGAAGCTCTTTATGGGAAAACAGACGCTGGGAGCTGCATGGAGAAACATCAGTGAGAAAACTCACAACTGGAACTGATCAACATTTATCGTCCAGAGAGGAAAACCACCGGCAGCACTGGCACAGACTGAGCTAGCACCCACTGAGCTAACATCGACTGAGCTAACACCGACTGAGCTAACACCGACTGAGCTAACACCGACTGTGCTAACACCGACTGAGCTAACACCGACTGAGCTAACACCGACTGAGCTAACATTGACTGTGCTAACACCGACTGAGCTAACACGAACTGAGCTAGCATCGAGTGAGCTAACACCGACTGAGTTATCACCGATTGAGCTAACACGGTCTGTGCTAACAGGAACACAGTTAACGCAGATGGAACTAGCCTGGAGAGAACTAGCATGTCCAAAGCTAATGAGCTAGCCTGAGTAGATTATTGGTGTTTGAGTCAAAGAGTTTCCTGTCTCTCACCTCCAGATCCTCCTGCCTCTTCTTCTGCTGCTGCTGCTTCACTCTGAGCAGAGGAAAAACATGGACACAAGAATCTGCTCAGATGGTCGAGTCAAATAATCCCAGTTTCATGGGAAGAGATTGTGAAAATATGAAATGCTTTTCACATGCCGCATCGCAGCTCAACCAATGTAGAAATGTTACCTGAATAAACATGTCTGTGCTTCATAACAGGCTATAAAAGTTTTATGTTTTCTTGTGTGTCTCTTACAGTCCACCGTTTGGTTTGGTACGTTTAGAAAATTACTGACACATCTAAACAAACATTGTTTTTTTTTCATTCAGGGAATCTGATTGGCTCATTAGGACAAACCGTTCACCAGGTCACAGGTCAGATGTGATCCTGATGTTCGTGGAAAGTCACCTGCTCTGCATGGTGGGTAGGGGCCTCTTCAAGGTGTGGTTCTGGTTGTTGGGTTATGGGACTCTCCAGATCTCTCCTCTCTGACGCCGGCTCCACATCCGTGGACGAAGGAGTCACCTGGTCTGCTGGCTCAGGTGCAGTGGGCGGGGCCAGGGCCTCCTCCTGCTTTTCTTCAGCTGCAGCTTCAGGATTGTCTTCAGCTGGGCGGATGTCCAGCAGACACCTGAGAAGAGACGAGTGAATGAAAAGAGACGGAGGAGATGTGAGGCTGAGACCAAACTGGAACATTTAACATCTCCAGCTGCTTCCTCTCTGCTCTGAAACAAACCAGCCTGTTCCCCTCCTGGCCTGTGGGGGCGCTGCACCAAGAACCAGAGAAGGAAACAACACTAAAAACGCTGAAGACACTGAGAGCTACTTCCTGTTTCACCAGATGGAAACAAGATGGAGGCGTCAGAGTTTAGTGCTGGAGGATTTCTCTTTAGTCTTTGGCTGAAGACCAGGAGCCATTTCAGCTGCTAGCGCTAAGCTAGCATGTTAGTTTTGGTTGTTTTTACCCAGAATGCCCTGTGCTGTAGTCCACTTCCTACTTTTGGAGCAACTCAGACTGAAGTTTGGAGGAACAGAGGTCAAAGGTCAATTAGCATTCACATCAACTGGACTGGACTTTAAAGGCAAATGGACTGGAGTTGGACTAAAGCAGACTGAACAGAAGTTGGAAAACTTCCGATTCCTCCCAACACAGAACGTTTTGACCATCTAGTCGACATCTGGTTCATGACCACGCATGGCGGTTGGATGATCATGCATCCAACCACCATAGTGGCACCAGCAGGCCTGGTCTAGTCTTTGCACCCTAGGCAATGACTTGAAGGGCTTCGGTGTTCATGAGGGTCAGAATGAATAATTTTCAACTGAATCCATCAAACTAACATCTGGTCAAGTTAAAAGGTCCAACCCACCTCTTCAGCTCAGTCCTGAATGGCAGAGAAAAAGTTCCAGAAAGTAAGACAGTAGAGTTAGAGCAGGGAGAAGACCTTCAGAAAACTAAAAACTAACCACTGATCCAACCAACCAACCACTGATCCAACCAAACATCCAACCAACCAACCACTGATCCAACCAAACATCCAACCAACCAACTACTGATCCAACCAAACATCCAACCAACCAACCAAACATCCAACCAACCAACTACTGATCCAACCAAACATCCAACCAACCAACTACTGATCCAACCAAACATCCAACCAACCAACTACTGATCCAACCAAACATCCAACCAACCAACCAAACATCCAACCAACCAACCACTGATCCAACCAAACATCCAACCAACCACTGATCCAACCAAACATCCAACCAACCAACTACTGATCCAACCAAACATCCAACCAACCACTGATCCAACCAAACATCCAACCAACCAACTACTGATCCAACCAAACATCCAACCAACCACTGATCCAACCAAACATCCAACCAACCAACCTGATCCAACCAAACATCCAACCAACCAACCACTGATCCAACCAAACATCCAACCAACCACTGATCCAACCAAACATCCAACCAACCAACTACTGATCCAACCAAACATCCAACCAACCAACCAAACATCCAACCAACCAACCACTGATCCAACCAAACATCCAACCAACCAACCACTGATCCAACCAACCAACCAACCAACCAACCAACCAACCAACCAAACATCCAACCAACCAACCAACCAACCACTGATCCAACCAAACATCCAACCAACCAACAGACCAATGATCCAACCAAACATCCAACCAACTACTGATCCAACCAAACATCCAACCAACCAACAGACCAATGATCCAACCAAACATCCAACCAACCAACCACTGATCCAACCAACCAACCACTGATCCAACCAAACATCCAACCAACCAACCAACCAACCACTGATCCAACCAACCAACCAACCAACCAACCAACCAACCAACCAACCAACCATCCATCCATCCAGCTGTAGTGCTAGGTCAGTATGAACCTGACGCGTTATTCAACTAAGCATTTCTTTCTATTTTTGGAACAAGCCAGGTGTGTAGTGGCGTGACTGGTGGTTAAGCTCCGCCCACAAAACGTGCTAGCTGAGCTGAAGCTAGCAGAGCCTTGTTGATCCATCATGGCTGAACTTACTGCTCTGTCTGCTTCTCCTCACTCGGTTTGCCTTTATTTTCTGTGCTGTCCTCACTGTCGTCCTGCAGGTTCTCCAGCCTGAACGGGCAGAAGAGCAGAGAGCTGCTGGGAAACCCAACATCTGGAACATCTGGAGTTTAAGGAACAGCTGGAGCCTCCAGGTGGGCCGGAGGAATCGGCTCAGAGCTTCTGAAACAAACTCAGCTCAGCAGAATTGTTCTGGTGGCTCCCAGCAGAGTCCAAACTAAATACAAACTAAATGTTCTGGTTGGAAAATGGATCGGGTTTCTGTTAGTACCCATCACAGCCCGGTCCCGACCCATTCCCTCCCTCCTTCATGTTGGAGGTTAAAGGTCACAGTATGTCCCACATCTGCCCTTTCGCCAAGTCTGCGTTTTAACAAGTACAAAGTGCATTACCCACAATTCATTGCTGCATGTGACATTCTGAGTTAAAAGGCGGATTTATGGAAATGTTCTGTTGTTTTTCCGTTTTCATAGAAAATATCGTGACAAGGCACATTAGTAATAAAAAGGTTGATTTGATAAACTAAGCAGAAAAAGAAGAAATAAAAAGAATAAATACAAACTGAC